CAGCAGCCTATCATAGTCTGCTTGTGTTCTGGGCATCTGATGATTAAAGGGCTCCAGCAGGTGTTGGGCTCGTGACGCGCCAACGCCTAACGCTCTGAAAAGGATCAGCGTTAGGATCTGAAAGTTGGGGATGACAAAGCCAACAGAGTTAGCCTCGTCACGGGCCATCTCGAATCGAGCTAACACTGAGTCGATTCGCTCGCCCCTTTCGACGCGAAAGTCGATAAGGGCAGTGCCAGAGTTGAGCTGGCGCTCATCTTCCAGATTTTCAAATTTGGTGCTCAATAGGTACAGTATATAAGTAACTGCATCCGTTGGCTGTCCGTTGACAGTTACACCATAGTTGATGATCTGGGAGGGGACCTGCATGGCGATACGACGAGCAAGGCCTTGAAGGCCACGTTGTAGTGCTGCAGCTTGCTGAGGTGGCGTCATATTGCCGCTCGTTACGTTTATCCATGCACGTACTTCGCGAACGTATTCGCGAAAAGGCGTAGTACCGGCTGGGTCCCACGAAGGGCCGGTAGTACGCGTGTCGTCCATCCCCTGCCGCATATATCCCACAGCACATCCCATTATCACCCATAGAATGCCGAAGATAGCTATCTTAATCCAGTGCATGTGCATCTCGGCTTCGGTGATTGGTTTAGGCTGTGGTTTGTCAGGCTCTGGCGTAGTAGCCGTAAGGCGCCTGACCGGCACGGGATGCAGGTGGCCCCGCTGCGGGTAGCCCCGCAGGGTGACCACGTTCTCGATCGAGTTGCCGATTGGCATCTGGTGGAAGTCGGGAGTGAAGTAGCGCAGTGAAGTAGGAGAGAGCGTCTCGAGCTCGCGGGTCGCCCCGCTAGCTCGATCGCGGACTGGCTCCGCTCCTCGCAGAGCCGGCGCAACATGGTATTCCACCGTAGTAGTAGTCCACCAAGTTGTGCCGTGGATTACAGGAATCAGAGCGAGAGCCAGCCACACGAGAGTGTAGCCAGCTCCGCTACCAAGTCGAAAACGCACTGGTAAGCCATGATATATGTTCCGCCTTAGGCGTTCCCATATCCCAGGCTTTGGCTCATATCGCATGAGCAAGAGAGCAAGACGAAGCATGGGATCTGGAGTAAAGGATAGAAGGGGCATCGTCAATGGAAAAGGTATTTTCCGATCTCAGATACAAGTCGCGCGCCTCAATGAGGCACAATCACATATTAGGCCGGGCCCGGCTTGAGCCAGGCACGGCAGCGGTGCATGCTCGATATACATCTCGCCTTTAACCTTCTCCGTTTAAAGTGCGAGGAGGAGGAGGAGGAGGAGGAGGAGGAGGAGGAAGAGGAGGAGGAGGAGGAGGAGGAGGAGATGAGGAGGGAAGCACACGCGCCCCTCGGAGCCTTCAGCTTGCCGACGGGCAGCCACGCCCTCGTCCTGCGGAAAGGGTAGCCCACCATGGCCTCGGACGCGCACGCGGGCGCGGTGCGGGGACCGGAGGCTGGTGGGGCAACGTCTCGATGATACTTGTGCACTTAGTGGGCCCCGGAAACGGCAGTGCCATTTTTTCACCGTTTCCGAGAAAGTGCCCCTTGGAAATGGTAACGGCAAAAAAACGGCTCCAAAATTGGAACCGGAGCCGGAACCGGTCAAAAAACGGCGACGGAACCGGTAGAAAAACGGAGTCGGAACCGGCAAGAAAACGGCAAAACGGAACCGGTAAAAAAACGGCCCTGTCGTTTCCAGGGCCCACTAAGCTTGTGCATGGAAGAAAGAGGAGGGAGGAAGAATGAAGAAGAGGAACAGGACTTCTGTTCCACCGCACAAACTGAGCAGGGACCGACCGCCCTGGCATCCATGTAGGCCCACCACGAAAGATTCCTAAAGCCCCAAGGCATGCTCGAAGAACAGAAGCAGTGTTCTTAGAACACAAGCCCGATGCGTTGAGACAAGACCGTCTGAGCCAGAAATGTTCTGAAAACACGTCGTGCAGACCACAGAAGGTTCCCAGAACATTCTTTCGTGGGCCCGTCGACGAGCCAGGACGCTTCGCCACTGCTTGAAGAGACACACACACACACACACCTTCGCCCGTCATCCGTGCCCGTGGCGGCGAGCGGCCCGCGGGCGGGCACGCGCCCAAGAGGGAGCAGGAGGAGGAGGAGGAGGAGGAGGAGGAGGAGGAGGAGGAGGAAGGAAGAGGAGGAGGAGGGGGAGGAGGAGGAAGAAGAAGAAGAAGAGCCAGGACGCTTCGACACCGCTTCAAGAGCGGGCGCCCGCGCCCTCTTTCTGCCCCGCCCTCCGCGGCCGCTCCGCGGCCGCTCCGCGGCCGCTCCGCTCCGCCGCCCCCTGGCAGACTCTCCAGCGGCGCGCGCTCGGCCCGCTGGAGGCGCTCGGTCAACACGGCGGCCAGGTCCAGCAGCAGCGGCTCCGGCTCCTCGGGCGGGCTTCCGGAGCAGCCCTCGTGCCAATCCCACCAGCCCTCTGGGCTTAGTTGGTATAACGCGTTTTTCCCTACCTAGGCTCTGCCTAGAAGGGTTCTTACTCTCTGGGCTTAAAGGGGCCGGGCAGTGGAAAGCGCCCCGGGCGGTTCCCCCAGTATCCGCCCCGCGGTTCCCCCAGTTACGTCCCCTGAGCTTAGCGTTGCTTATCTCATTTTAGCTTAGCCTAGCTTAACTTAGCTTAGCTTAGCTTAGCCTCGCCTAGCTTAGCTTAGCTTAGCTTAGCCTAGCCTAGCTTAGCTTAGCTTTGCTTAGCTTAGCTCAGCTTAGCGCAGCATTAGCATAGCATAGCATGGCATAGCATCGCATATCATAGCATAGCATAGCATAGCAGATCATAGCGTAGCATAGCATAGCGCAGCATCGCATCGCATCGCATAGCGTAGCATAGCGCAGCATAGCATAGCATAGCATGGCATAGCTTAGTATAGCATAGCACAGCGCAGCACAGCATAGCGCAGCATAGCATAATATAGCATAGCGCAGCATAGAATAGCATAGCGTAGCATAGCATAGCATAGCATAGCATAGCATAGTGCAGCATAGCATAGCATAGCATAGCATAGCGCAGCATGGCATAGCATAACATAGCATAGCGCAGCATAGCATAGCATAGCATAGCATAGCATAGCGCAGCATAGCATAGCATAGTTCAGCCTAGCATAACATAGCGCAGCCTAGCATACCCTAGCATAGCATAGCGTAGCATAGCCTAGCGCAGCATTGCGCAGCATAGCGCAGCATAGCATAGCATAGCATAGCATAGCATAGCGCAGCATAGCATAGCATAGCATAGCATAGCATAGCATCGAAGCAAAGGCAAAGCAACAGCAGCAACAGGAAAGCAAAGCGCAAGCAACGCAAAGCAAAGCAAAGCAAAAGCAAAAGCAAAGGAAAGGCAAAGCAAAAGCAATGTGCGACAGGTGCCGAGCTAGCCTCGATGGCCGGACCAGAGCAACAGCAAAAGCGAAAGCAAAGGCAAAGGCCAAAGCAAAGGCAAGAGCAATAGGAAAGACAATGCCAAGCAAAAGCAAAACCAATGCGAAAGTGTAGATGTAGATTTAGATGTAGGTGCAGGTGTAGATGTACATGTAGGTGTAGATGTAGATGTAGATGTACATGTAGGTGTAGATGTAGGTGTAGGTGTAGATGTAGATGTAGATGTGAGTGTAGTTGTAGATGTAGATGTAGATGCATGTGTACATGTAGATGTAGCTGTAGGTTTAGATGTGGATGTAGGTCTACATGCTAACACCCCCCTCGATCTGTTTTCACGCAGACTACTCGATCGAGCGCGGGGCGAGCAGTTGTGAGCCTCGCGCGCCAGCTGGCAATCACTCTCTGGCTGCCAACGGCAGGAAGAAGAGGAGAAGAAGAGGGAGGGCAAGGGGGGGGCCCTCAAAAACTTGAGCCAGGATAGCCACGGACAGAGCAATACAGACATGTGCTGAGAGACTCTGCCGGCGAATCCTGATCATTCTGACCCGCTGCGATGCCAATGCGTTCCATGAGCTGCGACCGGCGGAGTTCACCGTAGTGCAACAGACACGTTCAAAACGCCAGGGGGGAAATTCTGTACAAAACGGTCGTTTTGTACAGAATTTCCCCCGCCCCCTCCCGGGCGTCCACGTTTATAAACCGAGCATCACTGGCATCTTCTGAACAAACTACACGAGGGGAGCTACACATGCTATTCTGTAAACAGATGGCACATGCTAACACCCCCCTCGATCTGTTTTCACGCAGACTACTCGATCGAGCGCGGGGCGAGCAGTTGTGAGCCTCGCGCGCCAGCTGGCAATCACTCTCTGGCCAATCCCCAGATCAGAGTATCTGTACTCGGGAGGGTGGGCGGGCCCACAGGCAGCGAGCAACGGCCGCTGCCAATTCATGTGGATATGCAACGGCGTTGGCGGTATGAAACGTCTTGCCTGCCCTGCCAGCAAGCTCTACGTGCGGTTGATGAGAGAAACTGCAGACGTGCCTGCCAGAACAGTGCGCCCAACTCAGTCGAGAAATATCAAGGTTAGCATACAAGAGTCTCGTGCGTTTACGATATGGGCAACCGAAGGCGCAATAGTCAATGTCGATATACCGCCACTTCTCGCACAAGCGCTGGAACTCTGGATGACACCAGATGAAACTGCTCTGCGGGTTCTCAATCACCACGGGGCAGCCTCGAAGCGCTGCGAACTGGAAGAGGCGAGCGGCCCAGGTCGCACGAGCGTTGCCTCCGTGAACAGCTGCCAGATCCTTCCCAGCGAGGTGGGGTAAACCGAAGATGCACTTTCGCGACCGCAGCGGCGCTGGCCACCCGGGCTGCCCAGAGACGTTGCGTCTGGCACGCGACCAAGTGGCGCTTATGGAGCCAATCCACAGCAGGGCAACTAGCCTCAAACGGAGGCTCTCGTAAATGCATTTTCTGACGAGAGGGCGCATGCAGTCCTGCATCTCCGACTCGGACAGCTCCCAAGACCGGGCCTGGAAACCGGCAGCGGCGGCGGCAGCGGCAATGCGCGCTGAGCCCGCCATCAGCTCGAACACCTCCCCAGGCCTCCGAAAGCGGCGGGGTCGGTGTAGCCGGCCGCCGCGGCCCTTCCAGTTCACGCCGCCGCAGCGACGCCGCTGCGGGGCGCCCACGATCCGGGCGCCTCGCGCTTCAGCAGGCGCTCGAGCAAGTTCATCTGCTGGACGCCGAACGCCCTGTTCTCCGCTGGCATCGCGTTGAGCAGCTGGTGAATGGCCCCGGGCTTCGCGTACCTGCGCAAGCTGCTCTCGGATTTCCAATGGCCGCGCGCCTTCACGGCGTCCGCCGGCCGCCTCTGGGTGAGCAGGTCGTCGCTGGCCCCGCCGTGCCGGAGCTGGTACAGGCATACGCCCGGGACGCCCAGGGCGGCCACAGCACGGCCGAAGGCCGCTGCCATGCCTGGGCCGCCCGTCGTGAAGAGGGGGGCGGTCGGAGGCTTGCCCCGCGCATGCGCCTGCAGCACAGGCCCCAGCCAGGCGGGCTCGTCCAGCAGCGCCGTCTCGTCCGAGGTGCCGGTCTTGGTCAGGACCCGGGGCGCGCCCACCGTCTCGGTCGGTGCCAGGATGATCGACCAGTGGCTCAGCGGCCCCGACCGCCTCGCTGGGGGCAGCAGCTGCCCGACCGTCAGCTGTCGGAGAGCCCCAGGGCGAATGTAGGTGTAGAACAGAACCGCGACTTGCAGCGCCTGGTCGTACAGCCCCAGGGCCAGCAGCATCGACACCGCTGCCGCCATGAGCTCCTTTGGTGCCGGTGCCCGGGACCGAGGCGGCCGCTTCTTCCCGAACCCCCGTAGGGCGCGGGTCACCCGAGGCAGAGTCCCCGAGCCGACCGCGAAGGGGAAGTGATCCTTGACCGCCGCCACGAGCGTGTCCGCATCGCCCTTGGTACCATCGGCCCCAAGCAGGTGGTCGAGCGCCTCGAGCAGCCTGATCTGCAGCTCGTTGACGTCGGCTGGGACGCGGCCCTTCGTCTGGCAGAAGTCGAGGAAGGCGTCGCAGAGCGGCCTGTAGTTGGCGCGCGTGGCAGCGCCTGCTGCGGCCTCCTCGCAGTGCGAGCGGGCCGCGGCCGAGGCCGGCGACTTGGATGCCTGGCTCAGCGCCGCCGCGACCCGCCTCGGCCGGGGGACAGCGGCCGGCTGCTGCCGGGCGCGGGGGCCGGCCGCCGCAGGCCGCCGCCTGGCGGCTGGCCGCCGCTTCGGCGGTCCCGCAGCAGGCGTGGGGGCCGGAATCGGCGCATCCTCGGCCTCGGCTGTCGGCCTCTCCTCGCAGCTCTGCGAGGGCCCGGCGCCAGCTCGACTCAGCGGACCAAGCATGGCCGAGCGGGCCCTGGTGCTCGAAGAGCCGACTGCCCGCGTCCGCGGGGTTGAACTCGGACGGGATCCAGCGGAACCTGGGGCTGATCCCGCTTGCGAGACAGATGGCAGCGGTCCGACGGCACAACTGTAATATGGCGTGTGACGATGACCTCCCCCGATCCAGCCCGCAGCAAACCCCGAAGTTGTCGATGAGAAATAGCCTGATAGTTCCGAAGTTCCGAACGTCGCGAGCAGCCCGTCTGAGCCCCCACAGAAACGCCCGCCCCTCCTTGACACCGATATGTTCCTGATAACGTAGGGGGCCAGCATATATCGTGCGGTACCCTGTCGTCGCGAGCTCCCGAGGAACCTCTGGAAATCCTCGATGAAGAGCCCACCCTGGACCAGATGGCGACGGTGAGCAGGCAGTGACGGTGAGGGGATCTTCGATCTCAGCGAACTCCTGGGCAAGGGCACGGCGCCTCGGCGCCCACTCGTCGGGATTCAGCCGCCTGTACCTCCACCGCTCCCGCCATCGCCCGACGGAGGCCACGGCGGAGACCGGGAAAATTGCTTCGCACACCGCCATGCCACGGTTCGCGGCATCGGAGGCCGTCACGACGGGCGACCACGGCCGGTCGAGCCTCGCAGAGAGAAGCAAGCTCACGTCGGCCATTACCCACGCCTCGTACCGGCAGGAGGCCCACAAGCGCGTCGGCATGACGTACTTGTCGCGGATGAAATCGCACAGCGACCGCATCACGCTGAGCCCGAGCCTGTTGAAGGACGTGAGCGCAACGTAGTGCCCGACGATGACCTCCACCTGGCGCCCAGTGACGGTGGGCCCCGAAGCCAGCCACTGCAGCGCCCCTCGCACTAACAGCAACTTGTTCAAGACCCGGCGCGTGCTCGGCGGAGATCCGCCGACGCTCGCGCCCAGGATCACCGCGGCGTCCGAGACGGGCGAAATCTCGTGCATCGCGAAGCCATGCCGCTCGAAGGTGGAGACGATCTTGTCGCGGAGCTCCCCGACGGCGACCGGGTCCAGCCCGATCACGTTCACGTTGTCGGAGTATGGGAGCTCGACAGGGCCGCCCTCCAGCAGCGGCAGCGGCCACCCGCCAAGCGCCAGGCGACTGGAGTCAATCCCAGCGCGCCGCAGCATTTCTAGGTGGACGCGCTGGACGAACCAGAAGGCCCAGGACCAGCCCATCGGCAGCACGTTCAACGCCACGTGAAGCTTCATCTTTGCGTCGTGGAACAAGCCCGTGACGTCGAAGCCCAGGTGCGTCGCTTCTGCCACCGAGATTCCTGGCAGACAGAAGAATTCGATGAGCGACCCCAGCCCGCCACACTGGTAGAAGCAGGCCTCGATGTCCGCCGACGCCGCGAACACCTGGCGGCCCCGCGGCACCTCGAGCCCGCTCAGGCAGTCCAGCGCTCCGATCTCCATCACGGGGGCGTGGTGGAAAAGGATGTTGATGAGCCGGCAGTCCAGCACCAAACGCTGCTTCCCATTTTTCTTGGAAGCGAAAAACGGGGTCACGCTGCCTCGGCGGCGGCCGACAAGAGAGATGATGCCGCGGGACTTCAACATCGACAAGAACTGGATGTACTTGGGCCGGCTCGCCCGGAACTCGAGGTCGAGGCATGGCTGCGCCGGCGCCGACATACGCCGCTGCTCCACCACGTCAGGCGAGGCGAGCAGGTCAGTCTCAAAGTTCTGCAAAACTGCGGCCGCCTCCGGGTCGAGCGCGCCCGAGAGGCAGGCCGCCCCCTTGCCGAGAGGGGGCAGGGAGACGCGGTCCCCGTCGAATGGCTCGACCGTGGTGCCGTCACCTCCATGCTCCATTTTGGGACCCAGAAGTCGACGAGCGGCTTCCCGGGGAACGACGTGTTCAAAATCTTGCCTGGCAGCACGAGCGGTGCTCAGCAGATCTCTGTGTACCTGATGCTGAGCAGGCGTCGGAGCCCCGCCTGGCGGACGGACGCACCCGTACAGGGAGTTCAGGGCGCGGACCATGCCGTTGGCGTCCTCCCATGCGCGCCGGCGGAGGCTGCTGTGGCGGCGAGCCGTCCTGGACGATCCGCCACCTGTCTTGCAAGGCCACTCCGGGCCGAGGAGCGGCAGGGGAAAAAGGTCCCGCTCCACTCCAGCCGACTTTACCGTCGGCTCGAATTGGGCGACGTCTCGACGACGATCAGGCCAGGCCCAACCCACGTTCGCGACGCCGTCGTCCTGGCTGAGAGGGTCGATGGAGGCGGGCGCGCCAGGATGAGCGCCCGCGGGGCTCGGCCCGCCTCCGATCTCTCCACTGGTCATTTGTCCCCGGCGGCCTTGGCCTTTGCCTTGGCCGCCGCTTTGGCCTCGCGGGCCTTTCTCCTCTCCTTCTCGATGGCCGTCTCCTTGGACAGCTCAGTGGCGACATGGGCGCGGAGCGACGGCGCCACGTGGACGCCGGTGCCCTCCTCGTCTTCGCCCATGTACAAATGGGCTGAGTCCCACGACCCGCTTACGGGATCGTCGCGGTGGGCCGTCTCGATGAGCTGACGGCGACGATTAATGTACTCGAGGCACGTCAAGTTCGGCAAGTTCAGCCCGTCGATTTCATGTGCCATCGACAAGGCACGGCTCAGGACACGATGCTCGTGTCCGGACCTGCTGGAGGCTGGCACCTTCGAGTCCACCAACCAACGGTCGTGCGCGGCCGTGAACCCCCCAGTCGAGCCCTTCCTGAGGTCCGCGAGGGTGTCGGGCAGCGCGGCGGGGCCCTTGATCCCGATTGGGACGCTGGGGTCGCGCTTCATCAGCCTCACATCGTCGACGAAAGCCGACTGCTCACCGCCAGCGGGGCGAGGCAGGACACGAGGGTCCGCCCTCATCAGCTGCGCCTGGCGCTGCCGGGCCCACCCATCAAGGTCTGTCCCAGCCGCGACGCGCGTCCCGCTGACCGCCTTGCCGTTGACGGACACGAATGTCCGGCCCCCCACGTCGAGAGCGTTGGCCGGCAGGGCGAACTCCTGGCCGACGGCGAAGGAATCGCCCGGCTCGTCGAAAACCCATGCCCCGCGGCGCCCGCCACGCGCGGGGCCATGGGAACCGCGGGCACTCCAGGAGCCACTGGCGGCGGCACAGGCAACGGGATGGGCACGACCGCCGGCGCATTGCCTCCCGGGCCGATGATGTCATCCTGCCCTGGTGGCGGGGCCAGGCCTCGCGCCGCCCGCTCCACTCTCGCGTGGTGCCGACCCTCGGCCATGAGGTTCACCAAGTCAGCTCCAGCGGGCCGAGCTCGAAAGCGATATAGCTGCGCCCCCGTGAGCCCAAATGGGATCGAGCCCGCATGGTCGCTAACCCTCAGAGCCTCGAGATCTGGATTAGAAGCGTCAATTTGTTCAATGTACACGTCAAAGTCAGGCGTGATGACGATGAACAGCGAATCTACCACCCACGCCAGCAGGATCCGCTCATGATAGAGCGCGTCCCCGTAGTTGAGGAAAACGGTGATACCTGGCTCCAGCGCCATTGCCCAATTAGGCGGTCACGATCTGCCCCTGTCCTGTGCCTGCCCGCGCCAGCAACCTTGCGCGATTCGACGCCGGCGCCTGGGCCGGAGGCTCGTCCACGATGGCCTCGGCGGCTGGGCCTGGCCGCGGCTGGGCGCCTCCCGCCCCAGCCTCTCGCCGGCGCTGGCAAGCGCCTGGCAGCAGGACCAGGCGCCCGGCCGCGAAGCCCACCGCGGCCCCAGCGGCGAGGCCCGCAGAGCCGGCAGCCAGAGCGACCCCGGCCGAGCCCCACAGGATCTCGCGGAGCGGCAGGGCCTCCGCGCACGAGCAATTGCCGCAGGTGACCTGCGGGCACGCCGGCTGGGGCGCGCAGGTCAGCGTCGGGCACGCGGGCGGAGCCGGGCACGAGCTGACCACAGAGGCGGTGTACCAGTGTGCGCCGATGCTGGCGATATCGCGGCACCAAGAAGCGATATCGGAATACCAGTACATAGGCCCTCAAAAACTTGAGCCAGGATAGCCACGGACAGAGCAATACAGACATGTGCTGAGAGACTCTGCCGGCGAATCCTGATCATTCTGACCCGCTGCGATGCCAATGCGTTCCATGAGCTGCGACCGGCGGAGTTCACCGTAGTGCAACAGACACGTTCAAAACGCCAGGGGGGAAATTCTGTACAAAACGGTCGTTTTGTACAGAATTTCCCCCGCCCCCTCCCGGGCGTCCACGTTTATAAACCGAGCATCACTGGCATCTTCTGAACAAACTACACGAGGGGAGCTACACATGCTATTCTGTAAACAGATGGCACATGTAGATGTAGGTATTAAGCTGTATTGTTGTACTACTACTACTACTACTACTACTACTACTACTACTACTGTACTACTACTACTACTACTACGTACTACTACTACTACTACTACTACTACTACTACTACTACTACTACTACTACTACTACTACTACTACTACTACTACTACTACTACTACTACTACTACTACTACTACTACTACTACTACTACTACTACTACTACTACTACTACTACTACTACTACTACTACTACTACTACTACTACTACTACTACTACTACTACTACTACTACTACTACTACTACTAATACTACTACTACTACTACTACTACTACTACGACTACGACTACGACTACTACTACTACTACTACTACTACTACTACTACTACTACTACTACTGCCACGACTTCCGCTACTGCTACAACTGCGACGATGAGGAGAAGGAGGAGGACGGCGTTTACCGTTACTACTAATCTTGCTCTCCTCGGGGCTCCAACTCCTAGGTAGGGTCGCTCTGGGATAATTTTCTTCCCTCTTCCACTGAAACCCCTCCCCCTACCCCCTCCCTTGGGCCCGGACGGGGCGCGCCGCGAGGCGTTAGAGCGTCCAAAATGGCCCAAGATTGCTCCAAGAGGCGTTCAAAGTCGCAAGATGGCCTCCAAGATGGCCCGTGTTACTTCAAGATGGGTCAAGGTAGCCTCCGACATACCCCCAAGAGGCCCCAAGACAGCCCCAAGACGGATCCAAGTGCCCTTCGAGCCCTCCACGGCGCTCTCCAAGATGCCAAAACCCTTCAAAAGCCTGGGAAAATCAATGTTTTTTGGCATTCTCGCCTTTCTCGCTTCCGATGGGCTTTGGAAGCCTCAAGATGGCACAATGATGGCCCAAAAGGGCCCCAAGAGGGGCCCAAGAAGGCCGAAGACGGCCCCAAGATCGCCCAAGAGGCGCCCAAGAGCGCTCCAAGACGGCCCCAAGACGCCGTTTGAGAGCATCCGAGGGGGGGATCCTAATTAAGGAACCTCCTCTTTTTTAGACATGGGGCCCAAGATGGCCCCAAGAGGCCTCCCAGCCACTCCCCAAAGACCCTCCACCCCGCCCTTTTTGGCCCAAGATGGCTCCAAGAGAGCCCTAGATAGCCCAAGATGGCCTTCAAAATGGCCTCCGATAGCCAACCATGGCTCAAGATGGCCTTCGACAGACCTCCAAGAGGCATCCTCCTCCTCCTCCTCCTCCTCCTCTTCCTCCTCCTCCCCCATCCTCTTTCTCCTCCTCCTCCTCCTCCTCCTCCTCCTCTTCCTTCCCGCCTCTTTAGGTGTCACAGAGAGAGAGAGAGAGAGCGGGCATACGCTCCTGTCCTTCGATTGCTCGGATGAGTCCCCTGTACGCTCGCATCTCGTGCAAAGCCTACACCACGCTAGGGCCCATCAAGCACATGGGCTAAAAGTGCCTAGGAAAGAGGCGGGCCACCGAGAAGCAATAAGAACAGGTGGTTAGTCAAAAGGACTGTCACCCGAAGGTCAAAGAAGTTTCGGTGACGGCAGATATCCTTGCTTTCGAATGGTCTTGATGGCAGGGCATGGCCCGGGTGAAAAAAAACTCCTCCCCCATATGCTCCCGTTCTCCCCCAGCCTCCTCCATGTTTCCACACTATCCTTCTCCCCCAGCCTCCTCCCTCATTCTCCCCCATATCCTCCTCCATCCTCCATTTCTTCTCCTTATGAATCACTCCTCTTGCCTGAGCTTCACGGACTGAGGACAGGTGGCTTTCAAAATGTGGCTCTCGCCTTAGCGCCGCGAACATTCGTTCTAAGACTCCGCAAGAGTTTCACTGATTGAGGGCGGCTCGTTTTCAAAACGTGGCTCTCGCCTTTGCGCCGCGAACATTCGCATTCAACATTGACCAACAGTTTACGGATTGAGGGCGGCTCCTTTTCAAAATGTGGCTCGCGCCTTAGCGCCGCGCACACTCGTCCTACAAAATTGCATGGGCATCATTGCTCCTCCTGGTTAAACGCGCAGAACTAACATAATGGAGCGATTCGGGATTGCCAGGGCGCAACAGTTAAGCTGATTCGCGGTGCTGAAATCCCAGGAATGGCATTCTGGCAAAATTCAGGAACGTCGGGACGCAACCGTCAGGTTGACTGTCAGCATCATCATCACCATCAGCAGCATCATCATCAGCAGCATCATCAGCATCAGCATCCTCATCAGCTGCATCATCATCATCATCATCATCATCATCATCATCATCATCATCATCATCCTCATCATCATCATCATCATCAGCAGCAGCAGCAGCAGCATCCTCTTCAGCTTCACCTCCTCGTCATCCTCCACCTCCGCATCCTCATCATCGTCATCATCACGACGAACACCATCACCATAAGCATCAGCATGCGAAACTGCCTCAGCAGTACCACCAGCAGCAGCATACTTAGCATCATCACCATCAGCAGCATCATCATCAGCAGCATCATGAGCATCAGCATCATCATCAGCAGCATCATCATCATCAGCAGCAGCATCCTCTTCAGCTTCACCTCCTCATCATCCTCCACCTCCGCATCCTCATCATCGTCATCATCACGACGAACACCATCACCATCAGCATCAGAATGCGAAACTGCCTCAGCAGTACCACCAGCAGCAGCATACTCAGCATCAGAAAGTCAGCATCATCATCATGATAATCATCATCATCTGCATCATCATCATCATCATCATCATCATCATCATCATCATCATCATCATCATCATCCTCATCCTCATCATCATCATCATCACCATCACCATCATCATCATCATCATCATCAGCATCAGCATCAGCATCAGCATCATCAGCAGCATCATCATCATCAGCAGCACCATCAACATCAGCATCAGCAGCAGCAGCATCAGCATCAGCATCGGCAGCATAATCATCAACATCATCAGGCGCATCATCAGTATCATCAACAGCAGCATCATCAGCATCGTCATCGTCATCATCGTCATCGTCATCATCAGCATCAGAAGCATCAGCATCAGCATCACCATCATACATGCAATCCTTCCTGGTCCGACCTGCCACGTCGCTACCATGCGCCCCCTGATCCCCTGCGCGGCCGCACGGTCACTACACAGCAACCGGGCTCTCCCCCCCGTCCCCCTCCCCCATTTCCACTTCCACCTCCTCTTCATCATCCTCCTCCTTCTCCTCAACATCATCGTCAGCAACAAAATCATCAACTCATCAATATCCCCAACATCACCACCACCATCGTTATCATAATTATCGTCACTATCACCATCATGAACCTCATCATTCTGCCCCCCCCTGCCCTGCGGGTGTCGGCTGTCAAGCGGAAGCGGCAGAACCAGCGTTCATGCCACGCACTGGCCGTACTCGTCCTCGCCATCTTCATCATCTTCTTCATCATCATCAGCATAGTCATCATCATCATCATCATCAGCATCATCATCATCATCAGCATCATCATCATCATCATCAGCAGCAGCAACATCATCAGCAGCAGCCGCAGCATCGTCACCATCATCAGCAATATCAGCATCGTCATCACCATCACCATACATCATGATCATCATCATCAGCAGCAGCAGCATCATCATCCTCATCATCATCAGTTTCCACCACCGGCATCGTACGCATCACTCTGCTCCCTCTCCAGCTCCTCCGCCTCATCAAATAATCAGCATAATAAAAATCACCATCATCAGCATCAGCATCATCATGATCGTCGTCATCATCATCATCAGCATCATCATCAGCATCATAATGTTCATCATCAGCAGCATCATCATCATAATCAGTATCGTAATCATCATCAGCATCCTCATCATCATCAGCATCATCACCGCACGCATCCTTCTCGCCGCAAGCAGCAGTATAATGATGATCATGAGCAACATCATCACAATCATATTCAGCACAATCGTCATACTCATCATCGTCGTCGGCATCGTTAGCATAATCGTCATCATCAGCATGATCATAATCATCAGCATCCGCATCGTTACCTCACAGTCACCATCATCATCATCATCATCATCATCATCATCATCATCATCATCATCATCAGAATGATCAGCATCAACATCACATCACCATCGACATCATCATCACCATCAGCATCCTCATCATCATCCTCATCGCATCATTAGCATGATCAGCAGCAGCATCATCACCGTCATCATCATCATCATCTTCAACCACTGCCATCGTACGCATCATCATCCTCCCTCTCCTCCTCCTCCGCCTCATCATCATCACCAGCAGCATCATCATCACCATCACGATCATCATCATCAGCAGCAGCAACACAATACGCTTCCTGCTCACCACCATCAGCAGCATGATAGTGATCAGCATAATCACAAGTACCATTTCTCAGCACAATCCTCATCCTCCTCATCATCATCAGCATCATCATCAGCAGCAGCAGCATCATCATCGTCACCAGCATCGTCATCGTCATGATCATCATCGTCGTAGTCATCACCATCAGCATCATCATAAGAATCATCACCACCATCACCATCATCATCATCACCATCAGCATCAGCACAATCATCATCACGATCATCGCCATCATCATCACCATCATCATCGTCCGCATCAGCATCACATCACCATCGACATCATCATACTCATCAATATCGCCACCAGCAGCAGCAG